AACTTTGCACCAGGAAGACGCTGCTTGGTTGCTGACCATGAGCACAAGGGCCCCGGGACTAATGTCTCCCACGTTTCTCGGCACGCTGGATGCTGCTACGCCCGTTTGAGACTGCGGTGGTGACCTGGATGTGTGATGCGCATCTGGGCCTGTCGTCTCCCATTTGCCTCCACCCTGGAATGCTGTGACGCCCGTCTGGGACTGTTGCCTGCCCCTTTCGACTTTTGTGAATGAGCAAACCCTGACTGCTGCGACGCCCATTTGGAACTGTTTGCCTCCCATGAGCAGACTCGAGATGCTGCGACGCTCGTCCGGGACTGTTTGTCTCCGATTTGTCGCCCTTTCGTGAAGTGGACAGACCCTGGATGCTGTAACAGGTGTGTGGGATTGCGTCTCGCTCACGCCCTGGATGCTGTGACGTCCGTCTAGGACTTCATCTCCCAGGCGTCCCCCTTCGTGAACATACCCCGGAAGCTGTAGCGCGCGTCTGGGACTGTTCGAATTTGGATGCTGAGACACCCGTCTCCCGTTTGTCTCCCACTTCCCAAATTAGTAGAACCTGGATTGACGTCTTTGGGACTGTTTGATGAATTGTGCCACATGCCGTGACGGCAAATTCGCGTAGTCATGAAAACTCCGACTTCGATTGTTACACGCAAAAAAGCCAACCCAAAATCTCCATGCACAAGACCCAACCCTAAACCACCCAACCCCAAGTCCCAAGCCCCAAGCCCCAACCCCAAAGCAACCCTGAGCCCCCCCACCAAGAAGAGCAGGCAGGGCCACTGGCAGGGCCTGCGACCGGGCGCCAGGGCTTCAGCAGGGTTAGAGCCTGAGGATCTCGAGGTTAGAGCTTAAGGGCTTAAGGGTGTTAAGCTTTTGCTTCACTTCGGGCACGGACACTGTTCCGACAAGCAGGAGCATCCCCAACCTGAACCCTTAGCTGCATAGTGCATAAGGTTTACCGGGACATAGGTGCAAGAGGGTTTAGGGTTTAGGGTTTAGGGTTTAGGGTTTAGGGTTTAGGGTTTAGGGTTTAGGGTTTAGGGTTTAGGGTTTAGGGTTTAGGGTTTAGGGTTTAGGGTTTAGGCCCACTGTCCAAGACCTAATACTCCACACAGCAGGCCTGCATCTTCCACGGGACCCAAAGGAGGTGCCAAAAACAGCTGCGGCAGGCATGCAGCGAAGGGCGCTCGTGGCCGTCTCGGTTGGCCGTCTCGGTGTTTCTGCAAGCGTCACGAGGTGCCCCCCCAAAGATGACAAACGGAATGCCCTTTGGCTTCGCTGCGAGCGCCAAATCGCACTCTCGCAGAGGGGTTCGTACCACCTTCGAAGTCATGCTCCGGCCTCAGGGACGTTTTGAGGTTTGCACCCAAGGAGTGGTCTCGGAGTGCTCTCCTTAAAGTGGTATTAGAGCGGTTTTTGGGGATGCGTTTGCATATGACGGCATCAATCGCCATGCTTCCTTCGCCAACGGACAGATATCATGTGGGCGAGCTTTTGCTATGTGCACTCTGGAGCCTGCCAGCTGCCTTGAAAGGCCCTCCCCAAGCCGGTGCTCCAGGAATCTGGATCACGCAGTGACTTCTTCCCCGAACTCTCAGCACCATTCAGGGCTTTCTTGGCCCGGCCCTCTTTGGGCCTTTGTGCTGGGTCGGAAAGAGTCTTGAACACAAGAACCAAAAGACATGTGACGATGTCAACAATGTACATGCGCATGCGCATGCGCATTGCGCTTCAGGTTTCTAGGGGGGTAGTAGCGTCTTGCTTTCAAAGCGCATGCGCTCCAGCCGGCCTGCATCGGCTCTCGGAAACTGGCTGGATGCACAATCCTACAGAGATGCCTCATGTTCTGCATGTCAGAATAGGCAAAGTCAAACAGTTCTAGTCCTAGTTTCCTACACCCCAAAGAAGCGGCGGGTCAGCAACACTAAGCCCAAGCTGCTCACCGCAGGTGGCGGATCAGCCGAAGTGTGCTCCAAAAACACATGGATGCCTGACTTCCGCACAAAAGCCTAGAGTTAAGGCCTGGCCGTTGACAACTCCAGCTCCAAGAAAAGCCAAGCCCCGGACCATCATTCTGTTCCGCCTTCTTTCCAGCCTGCGTACTGTTTCGGCGTCTGCGACGGGATCTTTCAATGTCAGCGGAGCCCGTGCTCTGAGATCTTTGCTGGAAGCTGCAGCAGCCGCGGGGTTTATTTCCTGGAGCTTCGAGCTGACGAGTGCTTTCTAAGCTGTATGTCTCATCGAAATTCAGCGTTTGAGGGGGGTAACAGGCAAATCACCCAAGCATATGGCATAACTCCGCAAACAGGAGTGTTCACTTGCCAGGTTGGGCGTTTTTCTTGTGCTTGTTGCAGGGTTCCCGGTCTTCGGTTTCCTCTTCTGTTCTTTGCTTCGCATTCCTGAACACATTTGTTGGCTTCCTGATTTCGTTTCTTTTCATTGCATCTTTATGGAGTATCAGTCTTACTGTATTGGAATCACAGTGCTACGTTGCTGTCGTGAACACCCTTGGGTGACTCTAATGGGTGTTATGGGGGGTCAAAACTGCTTCGGTTGCCAAGCTGCTACTATGAGTTTGCACCTGTCGTTCACTGCCCAAAAGGTCGGTCATTTAGTCACTGTATCGATTTGCTTGGACTTTCAGGAATCTCATGCCATTGATTCTGTTTGGGCCTGCATGAAATTGACTGCTTATTGGTGTGTTCTATCAACGATCAACGCCTACCACTGTCACCTGTGGCTTCAAAGTTCAGGCTACTAAGACTCCGTGGGAATCACGTAACATTCGAGAACAGCATCCAACAGGAAGGCACCCAAGATGCTTCTTTGTGGAGGACATGTCGAAAGAAAGACATACCGCAAAAACACACCAAGTGGCACAATCTAGGCGGAAGGCCACAAAGGCTATGAACACCATAATCTGAAGTGATGCATAGTAGTGACGAACCACACGCGCAAGGAATCCAACCTCCATGTGAGCTAAGGCTTGTCATGCTGGCCATCCATACTTCGTTTTTGGTGTTAAAGCCTGAAAATGGACCCTTCCAGCACTCAGACAAAAGGCGCGCTCGCCAGACTGAACTTCTTGTCTTGAAGTGGATGCTAGGTCTTCTGGCACCTGGCGTTATGCGGCTTGGGCTGCTGCAAGGGCAAGGCGTTCCAAGAGCCAGCGGCTCTCTCTCCGATCATGATGACATGAGGAAGCAATTGGGTAATGTCGTGGAACATTGCTAACCCCCTGCCTGTGCAAGATCCGGTGTAGAAGCTTTTGCCTGACCGCTTGCTAAAACGAGCTTCCAGAAAGCGAACAAGAAACATTTCCAAGGTTGCCCTCTGCAGGGCAAGTCTACAATAGGTTCTCGCAGCTGCCATGCATCTCCGCCAACAACCAAGTGTGACGGGGGAACCTCTGTCCATGTCACCTTGTATTTGCAGACTATGGGGCTGCCCAGGCACCTTTGCTCCTAGCATAAATCCAGCCAATATAACCTGGGTCTCATGCAGTACAGTCTCGGCTGCGGGGGAAGGCCAAGAACTGAACCCTTTGGCCAAGCAGCCCCCATGTGTCTCCAGTTGGGACAAGACAAGTGTCACTGACAACTTACTCAGAGCCCAGCCTCTTTGCCAACAAGAGCGCCAACAGGCCAAGGAGCTTCAGGTTCTGGGCCACGAATTTTCCAAGTGAGCCCTGCCTGAGCGGGGAGGGTTGACAAGGCAGGCACTGCATGCAGAGCCAACTCACACCCTCACTTAAGACTAGATTTTGCGGTGCGAGCGGTTGGGACGGTCATCCTGCCCTCGCTTTGGATGCGGTCTTACTGCTCGTACTCCGCGCCCTTTCCGCGCCCTCTCCACCCTCTCCGCCCTCTCCACCCTCTCCCCTCCCCAACATCCTTCCATTCTCGGTTCCGTGCTTCTTTCCGTTCACGCAGCCGGCCTCCACCTGTTAAGATTCAAGATCCTTTTTTTCAAGCATAGTGTAATTTACCTGGATGCCTCCCCGCCCCATCCGCCCCAGACACCGGCACCCACTCCCGTCGGCGATGCCTCCGCCACTCCCATGACCTCCATCGGCCCCACTGCCCAAGACACCATGGCAAGCATTACTTCAATCCGTCGCTGGAACACCCTTTACTCCAGAATTAGGGTTTAGGGAGGAAGGCTTCATGATGAAAAAATCAGGGGCAACATCACTGAGCGGCTGCTGCGCGTGCATGAGCGCCTAAAACGCTTGCTGGGCATCCTAGTAGACCCCCCTGAATTGATCGAAATCCGACCAGTCACCTAGACATGTCTGAGCAGGGAGGCATGACAAGGCGCATCGTTTTTGACGCTGTCAAGAACCCCACACAACGTGTTGACGTGGACAGCCTCCAAGTTCTCCTCACATCACTTGCCAAGGCACTTTCTGCAGAACTTTATGATGTCGCTGAGCCTGGTTGTTGGCCTGGAATGTTTTTTACCCTATACTATACATACCAGGCGAGCTGCATCGTTGCCGCAGGCACTTGAGGGTTGTCATGTCACATCCTGTAGCTGAAGAGCATCTAGGCTGTCTCATCCCCAAGGAAGCCCCATGATCTCTTTGTAGTGTCCACTTGTCCCCGGTACTCCGCGTTTGAGAAACTCCCATTACATTGTGGCGAACGCAGCATCTGGCTGCGAGGACTTGACCCCTTTGATCCTAAGGTTGCTGTTCTATTCCCACTTTTGCGCCAGAAGGTATTCTCAACACAAGATCAGGAAACAATTTCCAGGATGAGAGCATCAATGGTTGGGATCAATTCATGCATCCTATATATATATATGTACATATATATATACATGTATATCGAGCTCGTAGCTGACCGTGCGCAGGCCATCGTCCGGAAATTAAGGCACTCCACAGCATTTGCAACCAAACCCACTGTCAATGGTTCTTGCTCTTGAAAGCTTCGGGTGTGGGATCTGTTTTACACCTCCTCGCGACTTTGAGTCGAATGTGCAGAAGACATCTATCGAACTGCGACTGTGCCATCCCCAGCCATGCGCATGACGTCATGCAAAAGCCACCAAACGCAATCCAGCCGGCGCACCTTCTTGATGGCGCGAGCGGCGCAGACCTGACTCCCCACCGCATTCTTACTGCCATTTGAGGCATCTTGTATTCGGCTCAAACCCAAGTCGAGCAAAAGCATGCTTGAACGAAGACTGCTGAACCCTTGCCGAACTCCGTAAACTCGGCCTGTTCATCAAAGGCCCAGTGGAATCCGCGCTGTCTCAGCAAGAACCCGGAGGTCGTTCACCCTGCGCACCTGCGCCTCCCACTGGGCGTCCACTATACCCCTCTGGAGCTGAAGCCGCTCCATTTGCAGCCGGACCAGCTGGCAGTCTCTTTCGTGCACCTCTGGCTGAGGGAAAGTAACATCACATACTTGTACTTGGGGTTTGCTTATCTGTGCCCAGTTTACATTGGTGTGCATTTTACTGGAGTAGCTGTAGCAAAAATCAAACTCTCCTTCCATGCGGTCCTTCCCCAGAATTTTGCATAACCTTACACGCGCCCCAATGCGTGCACGGCTTGCGGCACCTCACGCTGAGTCTTCAAGAGCTCTTTTCTGGTCGCCCGCAGCTCTTCTTTGGCCACGCAGGCCTCCGCCTCAACATGAAGCGCAACATGGCGCAACCGCTTCATCAGGATCCTCATGTTCAAAGTAAAACAAGACTGACAGCAAGCCCAAGCATGAAACCTGGGCGGCGGCCAACGCGGCCTTCAACTTCTGGAGATCCTCGAGACCCACCCATCTTCAACAGCAAGATTATGCTGATGCACAGGACAAAGAACTCGAATTGCACCATTGTAAGGAACAGAACCGACCATGAGTGTGAGCTTGGCTGTATACAGACTCACCAAGTGCTTGCGCAGCATGCCTCGGATGAGGCCGATGATCGCGGGGTGCCGTCCTCGTATCAAAGCAGACCAGAAACTCCCACATGTCAGAAATTCCAGGGCCACAGCCTTGACTCCTGGCCAAACCCCACAGCATGCATGATAACTCTCACATCGGATCATCCTGAATGTCGACAGGTTCGCCTGTCCCATTCCAGACCTCATGTGAAAGCTCTCCAAACTTAATGGTAACAGCAATGGCCATGCATTGATCGAAGGGCTGACATGTGTGCAGGGCGGCCGGACAACCTGTGACTGACTCTTCAAGAGCTCTTCCCTGGTCGCCCTCAGCTCTTCTTTGGCCACACAGGCCTCCGCCTCAACATGCAGCTTCACGGCGCAACATGGCGCACCCATGCGCAACCGTTTGTAGAGGATCCTCATGTTCAGATTGGAAAAAGAATGACAGCAAGCCGAAGCATGCAACCTCGGCGGCGGCCAACGCGGCCTTTAAGTTCTGCAGCTCCTGGAGACCCACCCATCCTCAACATCGAAGTCATCTGATCGGACGTTGCTACAGGATAGAGAACTCGGCACCGAACCGACCACGAGCATGAACCCTTGTGGGCTGAGTGTGCACAAACCACGACTAAGCCTGCTTGCACAAACCGATAAACGCTCATTTGAGTTTTCAACGCGAAGATCCAACCCGCATCTACCGATCCGTTATGTAACAACAAGGGCTTGAAGCATGACAACGCTGACATCGGATCATCCTGGATGTAGACAGATTCGCCCGTCTCATTCCAGACCTCCAGCGAATGCTAGGTCAAGATATTCGCATGCGGCGCTGGGCCTGCATAGGATTAGTACGAAGCGAACATTTTACAAGATAGCCTCGGTAAAGGGGGTGGAAAGCTTGAAAACATATGAGCAAGTTTGTAGCCCTCATGTTGTCCGACTGACCCTTTGCACAGATGTCAGCATTTCGATACGCACCTGCATCCAGCTTTGAGGTTGGGCATGACGCGCGGCGAAGCTCCAGTGAACCCCACTCCCAAGTCTCAAAAATGAGCTCGAGAAAATCCAGACCCGATAGAAGGGGCCCACCACTTCCTGAAGAGGCCATGCCTGCCATGCCGAGCTGTACGACCAGGGACACTCTGACGGATCCTGTGCCACGAGCTAGGGACTTGACTTGGCAACTTGCAAAGAACTGGCCGCATGGAAGCTGTAAAAAGAGCTCTCCTATGTAACCCCACTTCTTTTCGAGAGCTGGAGGTGCAGTTTGGGGATCTAACTGGTGCTGCAGTCAACCGGACAAACTTGGACGATGCAAGATTTGGAACAAATTCAACTTTCAGTTGCTTGACGACGGAGAAACAAGAAAATCTGCTGCACGCTAGGCAGAGTCCTGACACACCTGGCACGCGTCAGTATCGAACTTTGAGGGAGGGCCTGCGAGACGTACTGCTCGCTGCAGAGGTACGCCGGCTGATACCTTGGGCCAACGTTCAGTTTTTGCTGACCATTGTCACTGCATGGTCCGCCGAGGCCTTGGGCCGTAGGTGTCTGGGTGGCGCAAAGCAGGCACCCCACCCCACAGCTCAGGGACCAGGTTTGCACCCCTTTATGCACTTTTTGGCCTGAAATGGGTAGCCCCCCCTTTGCCAGGCGGCACTTCAGCCTGCCACAGGGGCCGCCACCCGCCACCTCCCTGCCTCTGCCTCCCCCCCACCCCGCCCCACCCCCTCTCCCCCACCAAACCAACCATCGGCCTCCAAAGCCTTTCCCACCCTGCCCCCAGCCCCCTGGTTTGGGCTCAGGCCGAGGCGGCTCGCGTAGCGTTAAAATTGCGATGCTTTCCTCTATGGTTTTCGTTTTTGCGGGGCCGTGGAACCTGCGCACCCTGGCCTAAATCAAACGATTTGCCCCAAGCCTCGTGGTCCAAGCATCAGCTCAGGGCTTGGATCCAGAATTTGTCTTAGAAGCTTTGCAGGCTTCTAAAACTTGAGTGGCGTCCCGGTCCAAGCCAAGTCGGTTGTTTTACATAAACATAACATAAACATAAACATATACATATACATATGCAGATGCAGATGCAGAAACATATACATATACATATACATATACATATACATGTACATATACATCTACCTATACCTATACCGATACCTATACCTATACCTATACATATACATATACATATACATATACATGTACATGTACATGTACATATACATATACATATACATATACATATACATATACATATACATAATGCCCTCATCTTCACAAAACTGTTTTGGCGGTGGTGTTTGGCAAACTACACTGGGATGCGACAGCAACAGTCCGGGATGATGGAGGTTTTGCGGATACTGTTAACCAATTCCAGGAGGACGTGGCCACATTGCTTAAACTGGATTCAGCAGCAGAGAGATTACATGGCATCGGAGATAGGTTTTTCCTTGTGTTCACAGATTATCGGGCGGATTTCCTGGCTATTGATTGTCCTGAGCTTCGCTCGTCATTCTTTTCCGTTTGTGTTCCTCCTCCTGGCGTCGTCGTCCCCATGCCTCACAGCGAGGAGCGACAAATGCAGGGTCAGGTGGGTAGCGACGCGGAAGAGGGGCGGTTGTTTGCGTGTGATTGCAAGTGCGAAGATGGCAGTGCATGCACGGCCACTTTTGGGACTGCGCAAGCGTTGGCTATGCATCAGCGAAGAACTAACGGAGGAACACATGGACATGTACACCCACATGTGCGTGCAGCAGTGTGTAACCAATGCCCTTTTTGCAAGCATGTGTTGACGAGTATCCGGACCACGCCGAATCACATACGCAATACTCTTCGGGTGCATCGGTGTACTGGCGCAGGCAGCGTCACATGCACGAAGGTTGTACCGCCAGCGGTTCTGGTATGCCCTATCTGTGACGCCGTGCATTCGTCGCTACATGAGTTGCTACAGTGCATCGCGCAGCATTTTCCTCAAGTGCCAAGGTCTTGAGCTTCATTGTGTAGTGGTAAAGATGTCATGGTTTCAGCAGACGCAAGAAGGGGCACGACCTGTGAAACAACCGCGGCTTCAGGATGACGAGGGCCTTGCAAGCAAAGAGAAGAAGATGCTCGAGATGCTTGCCAAGTTGTGTTTAAAGAACTCGTTGGAAATCAGAGAGCCGCAATCGGCCATCTTGTGTACGTTCATTGTTCCTCGGGACAGTGCTATCGCTGTTGCGGGAAGTGATGCTGCAAAGAACCATGTGGAGAGAATGAAAGCTGTACAAGGCAATGAAAAGAAGATCGACGCGTTGGGGCCTATTCATGTACACGTGTGGGCTGCAATCGTGAATGCTGCAGTGGGGAGTGCGGCAACCAAGGAGGATGCGGACATTCTCAAACAGCATTTTGACAGTATCACAAAGCCTGGCTCAGACCCGAACTCCATTGCGCTGCATGTTCATGTTGCTCGCTTTCGTAAAGCATGGGATAAAAGAACGGTGAAGTTGAACTTGGCTTGCCGCAGTGACTGGTGTACAGTGTTTGAGTCACTAGAACGAGCCCTTGTTGCGAGCGGCGCGAAGCGTAGGCTCGGGCAAGCCCCTCGTGGTGGGCTAGAGCGACAGATCCAAGAAATGTTGGATGCATTGCAGTAAACGAGCTGGCAAACGACCAGTGAGGCGGGGTATGGACACCGCCGTTTTGCCTGTTGTTCGGCTTTGTCGTGTGGTTACAGGAAGGCTGAGTTCCTAACCCCCGTTGTCTCCCGTACCAACGTTGCTACTTGTTGGTCTGCCCAACAGCTGCCAACACGCCGGGGCTAAGTCCCCCTGCTCGGCTTGAAGACTCTTCGAAGGCCGTGAGTGAGTGATACATATACATATACATATACATATACATATACATATACATATACATATACATATACATATACATATACATATACATATACATATACATATACATATACATATACCTGTACATCTATATGACTTTAAAAACCTTCAAGATTTAGATGGGGCGGCATTTTTAAAAGTGTAACGGCTTTGAAACTTTAAAGGGAGGGGCCGGGGTCCTCAAAACAGCCTTTGAAGTGTACATGGGCCCCTGTTTACCCTTCAAAGGTTTTTTAGAAGCAGGCATTGCTACGGTTTTGAAATTGAGGATGCGAAAAAATTGGGGGACTCTGGCCCCACCCTCGGCGTGGGTTTGTTAGACGAAAGTTAAAGTGTGAGTCAACCATTTGCCTTGCCCGGTGTCCTGGCCTGCGTTCATAAAAGTTCCGCCGGACATTGATCCCGCATGTCCCGCCGATTGACACCGAGCATCTGCGAAGTCCCATTGAAGACTTGGGGAAGACAACGCATGCTGCACAGCCTATACATCTAGCAAAAGAAGCAGACTATACGTGATATTGGATATTGAAATATTCGCGACTATATGTAACACAAGAACCTTGCAACAATTGCAACCAGAGCTGCCATCCATCTTGCACGGACATCAGGCAGTTAGGAGCTCCACTGGCTAGGTTGGATGAACGAGGTTGGGATTCTGTCCGTGGGGCTGCTGACCTGGGGTGGCTACCTATGCTGTGGCCCAAGAAAACTTCTGTGGGGGCTGTCAAAGAACGCGCGAGCAAACCAGTTCATGCTGTCAGCTGCAAAGGCTGCAAACATGCATACATGCGTAGCCAAAAAACGGAAAAGAACTGCAAATCATGTTCGGAACAGCAGGCAGAACTTGCACCCCAAAATTACATGCCTCAACTTTCCGAATAGGAAAACGAGCCCAAATCGTTTCCTCCACATTTGTGCGATGATAATACCTGTTCATGGTCAATTTTGGGGTACTTCCATGTGGTGCTTCTCTGAAAACCTATAGCTGTGCTTCTCCTGTCACAAATCGCTGCCAGATCATTCTGCGTTATGTTGCACAGCAACTCTTTGGCTCGGAATGGACATCGCGGGGACCTCAAAAACAAGTACCCATGCCGTTTTCGCGACTTTTTTCTGATGTGGGGGGGTGGGGGGGAAAGCTCTTCTGCCGCCCTAAACCATGATTTCGCTGGAGGGGCCTTCCTGGGCCTAACTTGAAACCATGATTTCGCCGGAAGGGCCTCAACTTGAATGATTTCGCAGGAGGGGCCTTCTTGGGCCCAACTTAAAACCATGATTCGGCAACAAGGTGTAAGGAGTTTCCTTGACACCCTGTCTGTTGTGTTTCACTTGTATGTGACCTTTTATATGTATATATATATGTTATGATTATATTTTGTACAATATTAACGTCTACTCCAAACCGTTGCGAACGAGCCAACATTCGTTACTATAGCTGTCGGATCAACTGAGACCACTTAAATTTTTTGCCTAACGGCAAAATGGGGGTGCGAAGCACTCTCCCGCTTTGTTTATGTATTGGGAAACCTTTCACTCGGAAGCCGGAACCAATCTGAAGTTTCAACCTCTACCCAAGCTCTGAAACCCCAACACTACCAGTTCTATTTTTACGACGACGATGACTTCGACTGCGACTACGACCACTACTACGACTACCACTACCAGTACTACTACTGCTGCTGCGACGAACACTGCTGCTGCTGCGCTGCTGCTGCTTCTACAACAACAAAAACTACTACTACTACTACTACTACTACTACTACTACTACTACTACTACTACTACTACTACTACTACTACTACTACTACTACTACTACTACTACTACTTACTACTACTACTACTAACTACTACTACTACTACTACTAACTACTACTACTACTACTACTACTACTACTACTACTACTACTACTACTACTACTACTACTACTACTACTACTACTACTACTACTACTACTACTACTACTACTACTACTACTACTACTACTACTACTACTACTACTGCTACTACTACTACTACTACTACTACTACTACTGCTGCTGCTGCTACTACTACTAATACTACTACTACTACTACTACTACTACTACTACTACTACTACTACTACTACTACTACTGCTACTACTACTACTACTACTACTACTACTACTACTACTACTACTACTACTACTGCTGCTACTACTACTACTACACTACTACTACTACTACTACTACTACTACTACTACTACTACTACTACTACTACCACAACAACAACAACAACAACAACAACAACAACAACAACAACAACAACAACAACAACAACAACAACAACAACAACAACAACAACAACAACATTCATTCCTTCCATTCCGGACGCATGGCGGGTCATGTCCCACACCTTGGCGGGCATCGAGGGTAGAATGACTTAAAGTGACGGCTAATTCTAAGTCAACTTGAGCGCTGTGTGTGAGGTAAAGCCTCTAGCAAACGAATGAAAATGGCAGGACAAGAAAAGCGCATTTGTTGACTGTCTCGCCCGGCAGCTGTCGCCAAAAGCTGGGCTAGACTAGCTGCAACACGGAGGTCAGTGGACTAGGAGGAGACCTCACGCGGTTTCACAAGCACGATGTCAATTTTCATCAACTGTACAATGGTGACCCGGCCGTGCACAGCAGGCAAAACTGCACTCTGCACAAACTAGCTGCAACACGGTGGACTTTAACCAGGAGGGGGACCTCACACGATTTTTTTGACCAAGTCCGTGTACAGCAAGCAAAAACTGCACCTTGCACTTTACGAACCGACAAGAAAACACGACCTGAAACCCAAACCCATGAGTAGAGCAGTGCAGTTGTTCAAAAAGCAGAGCAATCAATCAAAGTATTATTCACAGTTCCGAAAAGGTTATCCCCGACTTAAAAGCTCGGTCAGTTGAGAAGAAGAGCTAGCGCTTTAGACTATGGGCAGCTGCTACTTAGACAAAACTCTCCCGCGCTCAGGCTGATGCAGCAGATATGAGCGACGAAACGTGCAGGTAAGGAAAAGCAGTAGCTCCAGAGTGGTGCTTATGGCTTAAGCGGCTGCTTCAAGAAACTACTGACAATACAAACAAGGCTACACGGCAGCTACACAACCACAGCCTAGAATGAGCAAATGAAGCGGAAAAGTCTGAGCTGTGAAACCCTGCTAAGAAGTTGCGTAGGCTAAAGTTCAGGAGGCTAAAGTTCAGGAGGCGACCTCACTAGAGGAAAATTATGGCTCAGGCCGCTTCTGCTAGCGTAGGATGGCGTGAAAGCACTGAGCTGGAAACTTAGGCTTCTCATGGAGAACGCCTTTTTCAGAGATATTCTCGCTCAGGCCGCTGCCACTGCAGTGTGAGTTAAAGAAACTGAAATAACAACTGGCAACCAGCTAGCATCATTCTTCAGTGCCTTACCCGACGAACGGGACTACTAGGCCACAGCACTGCCTCACCCGACGGACGGGACTACTAGGCTGTCTTGACCAAGCATAGAAATGAAAGTTACATCTTGCTGCCTTACCCGACGAGCGGGACTACTAGGCACTGTATGAGCCTGACCCGACGAACGGGACTACTAGGCTGAAATGTTGGCCTTCTCACCAGCATTGATTGGAAGATGCGCAAGTGAAAGTGTGTAGGGTGTTGGGTTCAAGGTGGGTTGGTGTGACGTTGAGAGCACAAGCGCAGCGAAGAAACAAGCCGAGGAGAGCGTTATGTAAAAGCGTGCGAGCATAGCTTTCGGGGCTAATACCCTTGCACTGAGTGTCCCAGCGGAGTTCTTTTGGACTGCGTAACCACTCAAGAGCTTCTCCTGGAGCAAGCGGGCCGTCACGACCTCCTCCCCTAGGTCTGCAGCCGCGCCAAGCGCTGGCCGCGCCAGCCCGCCTAGCTCAGTACTGAAGGCTTGGAGTAGAATACATTGAGAAACGTTGGGTAAATGGCTTCCCCTCAAACTGGAAACTGCTGCGCGGCATCCTCAAAGCTGGTGATGAGACATCAGAAGACTTTCTCGCCTGAACTGTAAACAATACCAGATTTGCAAATACGCATTGGCCAGCGCCGTCCGACTTCAGCTTCCGAGTACCAGAGGCAATGATGAAGGGCCGTATAGAGATCTGCCGCTAGCGCAGCAGGGACTCAGGCTTGTCTCCGTCAACTTGGCTGGGGCTCGAGGCTCCCGCTAGTAGGACCGCTTCGTCGGACAGCATCTGTAGACATGCCACTGAAATAAAAACACTGTTGATTGTTGTCAAGCCGCGGCAAGACCTGCATGAACTAAGAACACCATTGCTCTGCTTTGTGAACCAGCGCATAGAAAAACCCGTCATCCATTGTAAAAGCCTCAAAATTATCCCCTCTGCCATCCGCTTGTTTCGACTGAAGTGCCGGAGCACGATCAGACTCCCCTCGTCCTGCGGAAAGACGAGAACCCTCACACTTGGGAGTGATAGATGCAATCTAAGACGATCTATGTCTCCCCCCGGAATTGGGACCGGGCCAGCTCGTGGTTATGCTGTCTGCAGCGGAATCTCAAATGCTTGAGGCTAATGCCTCAAAGTGACCATCAGCTGGCAAGAGCTAGAAAGCCTTGAGATGTTAGAGGGCCCCGAAAACTGTTAATGAGATGAAGTTCGGGGCCTTGGCCGGTTCGACAGCTACCATGCGCGGGCGGCTTGAGCTGGTAGTGCTTAACAACAACAACAACAACAACAACAACAACAACAACAACAACAACAACAACAACAACAACAACAACAAC